AGGGGGGACCCGGGCGTCCGGCTCCCGCCCATCCCCTGCACCCGCCCCGCTCTGGGAGGGGGGGGACACCCGCAGACCCCCACATCCGGCACCCACAGAGCGCCTGGGTGGGCTCGTGGGGTCCCCACGCCTGGGGTTGTGGGGGGGTCCCAGGTGGGTGCGGCGGTCCCGGGGTGCCAGGTGCCCACACCCCCCTCATCCTTTGTGCCCCCCTGCCCCCGGGGACCCCCACATCCAGCACCCACAGAGGACAGGGGTGGGCTCCTCAGGGGGCACAGAGGTCCCAGGTTGCTGGAGAGCCCCCCCCGGGTGTCATGGGTGCTCCATGCCTCAGTTTCCCCGTGAGGACAGTGATGGGGGAGCTGGGGGGGGGGTTGGGGGGCTGGTCCCCAGGCTGCCAGGCGGGGGGACCCTGGACAATGGTGGGGACAGTGGGTCTTTGTGCAGCAGGGGGATGGGGACCCCCCCGCTGCCGGTCCCCAGCCGGATAATGGGATAAAGGGGGCTTTATTGGTGCGGGGGGCTCAGACACCCCCCACCCTCTGACACCCCCCCCAAGCTTTAACCCTTCCCGTGCCAGGCTGAGGGGCAGCGTCGTGGCTTCAGTGGGTGCTGACGGAGGGGAAACTGAGGCACAAAGAGAGGGGACACACTGGGGGTCCCTGGCAGGGGGTGTGCGGAGGGTCCCTGATGCAGGGCATAGGGGGGATCTCTGACTTGGGGTCCTCCAGGGGATCTCTGATGTGGGGGTCCCTGATACCAGGGTCCGTGGTACAGGGGGGCTCCAGGGGTCCCTGACTTGGAGTGCCCTGGAGATCCCTGTCATGAGAGTCCCTGTCACGGAGCACCCCTGGGGCCCCTGACTTGGGGTACCGTGGGGGTCCGTGACTGGGGATCCCTGGCCTGGGGCACCCTGGGGGTTTCTGCCATGGGGGTCCCTGACCCGGGGGTCCCCACAGGGTACATCCCTAGTTACCTGGACAAAGATGAACAGTGCGTGGTGTGCGGGGACAAGGCCACCGGCTACCACTACCGCTGCATCACCTGCGAGGGCTGCAAGGTGAGCCGGGGCAGGGGGCTCAGGGGGACTCAGCAGGGCTCAGTGGCGCTCACCGTGTCACCCCCTCCCCGCGCCCTCCCCAGGGATTTTTCCGTCGGACCATCCAGAAGAACCTGCACCCCACCTACTCCTGCAAGTACGATGGGTGCTGCGTCATCGACAAGATCACCCGCAACCAGTGCCAGCTCTGCCGCTTCAAGAAGTGCATCTCCGTGGGCATGGCCATGGACTGTGAGTGGGGGGACACTGGGGGGGCTTGGCTGG